GGAGAACTTCGATTGGTACATATTCTTATGCATTACGTGTTATGCGTTATGCAAGAGTCAGTGACCTCTGCTACACGGCACGCTTAATCAGGTTTAACAACATCCGTAGTTATGAAATTAGCCAATCATAGCTTTTCCTTGGGAGAATGGAATGATTGTGATTGGCCAGTTTCATAACTACGGATGTTATTAAACTCGATTAAGGGTGCCGTGTAAATGTAGTCAGTGCTCCCCGCTTATGCTGGATTCACACTGTATCCGATTTTCGTCGTACGACGTTCTTCAACCAATCAGAAAACGGAATTCCGATGATATGAAGCAAAATCCATCGGAATCCTGTTTTCTGATTGGTTGCAGAGCGTCGTACGACGAAATCGGATGCAGGGTGAATTCAGCATTAAGTTCTATGCGTAAACTATAGATTTTTAGCGCTGGCAGTGAATTTTGGAACACAGCCATTAAAATTTTGTTCAGTCATCCGAGTTGACGATCACAGCTTTTAGCACTCCGTGATTATTCAACATCGGCTGTCGTGTGTCACATCGAGTCGCATCGTGGTCGTCGTGTTTGGTCGTGTTCGAAGGTACATGGTACGGGTAACCTTGGTCTCATTTTGCCGTACGCGAAGAAACGCACGCAATGACGGGGATAGTGGTGGCCACTGACGAGGAGCAGTTACTCTCCAGGATTTCTAACCTCATCGCCCGCGCCGCCGACGATGCGATCTCACGCGATGATCGGATCTTTCGTTTCGGCGTATCAGGTGATAGCACAATTTTTTTATACAACTTGTTTTATTTCGTCTCACTCGGCTCGCTGCTGCTACTCGTATTTCATCGACAATGAATTTTACTACTGTCTATAATTTTCACGTTCTATAAGAGTCTTTGCTTTCGATATATATATTGAGATACTCAACTGATACTGCCGTGTCTCCTTAGAGATATACATATATATATATATATATTTAGTTTCGATAAGTTCCTCGCTAATCACGCGAGAATGACTTTGATTTTTCAGTTTCGCTTAAAGTCACATTCTCGTGCTGTCACGCTCAAAAATAAGCCTTGAACTCATTTATTCACGAATGTTCACGAATGCGTCAATAAGTAAGACTTTTTCATTAACTTTCGATTTTCGCCTGCCTTCGATACAGGGAATTGTACTTCAGTGAGCTTGTACTTTAACGAATTATAGATATGATAAATTAAGGGAATCGTTATAAGAGCAATTGTTTAAAGATAGTGACTATTTATTGGAAAAAGTATCATTTTGCCGAATCTCTTATTTCTTATAAATTTATATATTTTGGAAAGATCGGAAAAAGTGCAGAAAAGTGCAATTGTAGAAAAGTGACGATCGTATGATCATTTGACTCTGGCTGCGGTCGATTTGGGCGCTCACGCGCTTTAAGCGCTTGTAATTAGTGATAGGCGATTCGGATCGATCTTTTTGATCTCAATTTCCGGTTTTTTGGATCGATTTTCGTGTCTCGATTAAATTCGATTCGCAGATCGATTCTTTCACGAAAAAATCGAATTGATCATTCGACTTCGAAAGCAAGCGGCGCGAGTGCGACTGCCCAGACAGAACAAGTCATTATGATATCAAAATGATGTCAAAATATCTCCAAAATGATCATTAAAAGTCATTTTTCAATCATTCCCGATTCATTTTAATTGCTGGATTCACCCTGCATGGGATAAATCGTGAAATACTCAATGCACTTTATTGTGCTATGAGGTAAAATATGTATTTTATAATTCAAAATATTTGCAATTTGCATTTCACTTTTACACTTAAATCTCTCTGCTTCAAAACAAATTTTCTGTTTTAAAACCAAACATTCTCTTTTTAAAGCAAAAAATTACCATATTTTATAAAACAGAAAACTACTATATATATTTTTCAAAACTAATTTTTTTTAATTTATAACTTTTTAATGAGTTATCAACGGTTAAAACTTCCTCAAGGTCACTTACGATCATGACATTGACAACACATGTCAAGATCATGGTCATACTAAATAAGTTATATGAAGAAAATGTAATAATATTAACCAACTACACAAATGATTAGGTACTATATTTTCTTTTTTTTTCCTTTTTTTTAGTTCACTTAATTTATTTATTATCCTTATTAAAATTTTATAATATAGTTACAAATTTTTATATGTATAGGTAACTTCTATAAATATTAAGATTATATACTGAAGAATGTTGCCAAGTCCTTAAAAAATTTAGCGGTAGGTTATTCTCTAAAATAGCGGTAGAAATTAGAGTTCCTCTAGTAGGAGTTAAGACGTTAAGACATAAGACCGGAAGGACATCATTGCCGGGTGACCGGAAACAACACAATTCCATCATGGTTGACAGATGGTAGTCCGATTTCGCGTTTGCGCCTTCTACACCGTGAAACAGTTGCTCACACCAATTCACAGATTCACTACCACATCGAAAGTATCTGCAAATGGCGGCGTTTAAAGCGACTCGAAATCTGACCAATCAGAGATCGGTACCCCTTATGACTTGACTCCTACTAGAGGAACTCTAGTAGAAATTAGAGTGAGTATAAAGAGAGTGACGCCAATTAAGCCGGAAGTTGCTATTTGGTATCCTACAACTGGGTATCTATATGACGCAATTCCTTGTTTTAACTTCTTCTTTTTTTAACGTTGCTTTTGTCTAACTGGCCGAAATCCATAGTCCGATCTTAATCTCAAGCAATGTCCTAAGATGCTAATACGGCTCTTTGATTGGTAATAACCAATCAGAATATGTATTGTGGATGTTTCACATGTATTGTGGATGTTTCACATGTATTGTGGAATACCATGTATAAATACTTGAACTAAATAATCACTACGAACTAAACGCATTTAATCAAATTAACATCTTTTTTCCCAGTGTATGTAAATATCGTATGTATCAAATAATCTAAAAAAAAAATCAAGAAAATTATTTTTAATTCGTTATTGATTTGTTGTATAGGCGGTTCGGTAGTACAATTGCTAGCCAAGTCTCTGCCTAACATTGCAACCGACTGGAGCAAATGGCGCTTCTTTTTTTGCGATGAACGAGTGGTGCCTTTGGATGATTCTGAGTCAAATTTTGGCCTTTACAAAAGTTGTTTAATCGGAAAAGTGCCCGTCACTGAGGAGCAATTCATGAAGGTCGACCCAGAACTCAACGGTACTTGATCCGTAATCTATTTCTGCTTTTAATAAGAATATACGATAATCCATATATCTGTAATTGTTCACATTTCTTTATTTATTGATTATTTATTTATCTATTAACTTATTTGTTATAATTTATTATCATTTATATATATATATATATATATATA